TAATCCTGTGTTTCTCTCGCCGTAAAATTTGAGTCAATTTCAGTCGAGTTTACCTCCCTGATCGTTGCTGTATTTAAGAGAATTTCTGTGGAATACCTCAGGCTTGAAAATGCTGCCCTCGGCCAGCGGCCCCGGGCAGCATTTTCAAGACCTCGGTCACAGTTTTTCACTATACGGACCGACCCTAAGCCGGCAAATAACATATATTCATTATCATTGATACTCAAGTTATGATGTAGATTTTAGCACCACATCTGAGTCGCACTCTGACTTATTTGAGTGCAATTTACAATAAATTCTGAAAATAATTGTCAACAACAATTACTAAACTGTGTCCATGTAATTCTTACAATATGCATCTCCTGAATGTCTGACCTATCATTGATGTTAAGAGAAGTTATATTGCAAGGGAGCTCTTAAGACTAAAGCCTGGATTGAGCTAACTTGAGCTAACTCACTCCTTGATAAGAAGCTTGTCTATGGTAGGGTTAACCACAGCATAACTAACTCAACCATCAGATGGGTATGAAACCTTGAACTAAGACATGAATAAACAGCAGTTTTAATTGGCAACGTCTTTGTAGAAGAAAAAAGAACTTATCTAGCAGTTGACAAGATTGTTTGTCATGTCAACTGAAAGTCATAAAAACTCTAGGATGGGTAACAGGATACAGGCAAAAGTTCAACGATAAAACAGGACGTAAAAGTAAAAACATTTATTTCTGGTTTAAATTTCAGCTCATTGTCATCTCGCAACAATTTTAAAGTGTTCTTTATTCAAGTGGGCCAGGGTCTCTCTTGTGGGATCAGAGAGAAGAATCTGGTAATGAGTCACTCAAGTAGTGCTCCGACTGGCTGTTGTGCTAGCCCCAGTGCTCCATCAGCAACTGTCATCCTTGGTCCACAGGCGAGAAACAAGTCTCTAACTCATCCTGCTCTTCCTCTTGTGTTGCTAAGCGACGTAAAGATCTGCGACAAAGATCCTGTATACTCTCCGCAGTGCTGGCATCAAAAATACGGCAACATGACTGAAAAACAAAATTGAAAAAACTTGCTTTGTAAACTTCTAAATGTTATGTATTATGTTTTTATGTGGCGTGCAAACTTCGTACATTTACAACTCGATGCATAAAGTTACTTAGCCGGTACGACAAGAAAATTGTTTCCAACTGGATTAAATTAACACAAAATATGGCAGTTTTAACTTCGGGGTGTCGTGCCTGGAAACCATGACTGAAAGCCATACATGAGTTAGACTAATTCAGTAACAGCTCAGGTTTATTATTGTACCCGCAACAGAGACGAATATACTCTCGAGCATTGTTACCTGAAGCGTGGACTCGCCATCTCGTAAACGCAACACATACAAAAGCGCTGATTCAGCAGCAGATTTGACTGTAGTGTTCTTTTCCTTGGTAGTAGCGATCAGAGCAGGGACTATGACTTTAAGCAGCGAGCTGTCTAAAGGCGCTGGGTATACGCGTGCAACGTGTTTAAGAGATGCTGCCGCGATCGTTTTTACGTCGTTTGAATCGTCTTGTAACACCTGCAAAGGAAGCAGCGAAAACGCTTAATAAGTTTCCTAGTGTGTCTCGTAACATTGGTCTCGAAACGATAAATGACGCGGAGATAAATTAGTAAAAACACAGCAATAGTGTGCACTACGTTATACGTCACTCTATTAGAGTTGGCCAACTTTGACAAGAGTTGCTCAAGAAATCTAGTGTACTTACCTTAAGAAGTGTTTGTAGGACCTGAGCTGACGGTGAATCACACTGAACTACCGAGTGAGCGACAATGAAGCCAAGAGACCTCACGCCATAGCTACAGATGGGAATCTAGGAAACAAACATTTAACAAGTCAAAAGAGAGAAACTCTCCACTGTCAAACTAAGGGTTCTATTTATGGCAAATTTAGTTTTACGGCTAATCGTATCTGTAACGAAATTCTCGATCGTGATTGGTTCTCCGCGCGCCTATTTGCCACGTAATCGGCGCGCGATCACGTGGGTGTCCAATTGCAGGTATCCAATTTGAACTTTTTGTAATTGGACACCTGTAATTGGATACCCACGTGATGGCTTTCTTTGCAATGTTTCCTACAGTTTCAAAACTTATGAAACGCGCTACATACGTTTTCGCTCAAAAGAAGTTCTCAAAAGACATTTTTAATTCCGAAATTTGTCATAGATACGATTAATTAGTAATTGGACCTCGTGTCGTACAATTCAGGGAGTAATCATGCTTGTAATTTCAAATCGGCCTCGCGCTTCGCGCTCGTCCGATTTTGACATTACTCGCGCGATTACTCCCTAAATTGTACTCCACTCGGCCCAATTACTATTTCTTATATCGTAATAAAATTCGTACTCTGCTACACACTAGCCTACGAGTAGTCCCTCTTTCGCTTAGTCCGCCGTACGTGACGCGGAAGAAAACCGCGAGAAAGAAATGGCCGCGCGAATTTCGCGCGGCCATTTCGAAATTGCACTTAACAGTCGGGTTAACACAAAACATGTCTAAGAGAAGCAAGCAGGATTTGCTGGAAGAGTTGGAGATGCAACCAGCATACAACTTTCTTCTCAGTCGCACTGGTAACTACCTTGCGAGACAGAGAGCAGAAAGAGAAGGGAATCTCTGTCTGACAGGAGGGGGTGGGGTAATTGGCAACAAATGACAGTTAAGTTCATTGTTCTGAGGATCTTCCCGCCTGCGTTCTCCCTGATTCATTCTTCTCAAAACCTAGCAGCCAAGCAAGACATGAACACGTTGTACGTCCCCACCCAACCCTCCAAGGTAGCACTCACCCTATCTGTTGTGGCGTGTGCTACAGCTGCGTTAGTGACGTCATCATAGAGATCCTGAGACATTACTCTCTCGACAGCGTCGTGTAATACCGCTGACAGTGCAATAGCGTGGCCGTGTCGTACAGTCCAATCTACAGTAGGGTCATTGACTGCCAACAAAAAGAAACATCTAAGCGTCAACATAAAGATCTTATGACAAAGAAAAATATTCACTGAGACCTCATTTTAAGACTTTACATGTTCCAGTTTTGTGCTTGCCTATTAGATGTTCGCTGATGATAGAGTTGAGTTCATTGTCTGGAACAATGATAGCTAATGATCCAACACACCCGCCTGCTGCCACGCGGATATTATCCTACAAACACAAAAAGGTGAAATGAAATCAGTGAATTACATGGACATTACAACACAGGCTTACGGTGTATGGTTCACTCTGTTATAAGTTCTTCCTTACATAAGACGTATTTTGCTATCAAACTGTTAATCAAACAGCCATTCATTCAATCAGTCAATCAGTCGGTCGGTCGGTCGGTCGGTCGGTCGGTCGGTCAGTCAGTCCGTCCCTCCGTCCGTCCGTCCATCAGTCAGTAGTCAGTCAATCAATCGAGGTGGATCACAGTAACTGAAGTGCAAAGCCAAAGGTGCCTTTGGAACAAATGGTTAGTAAAACGGTCGATTCTTACATCAGCATGTCCCAGTAAATCCAGTAATGTACTGGTGAGAGTTTTTCTTATTGGGTCACCCATCTTCTGTCCTGCGCCGGCGATCACACCCCGTAAGGCCTGCAGCAGTGTCTCTCTACAACAAACGGAAATAACAATTCAAACTTTGGAGATGTTGTGCTCTTAGAGTATTAAATCTACTGACTGGATTGAACTTTTACTGGGTTCAAAAGTGACGTAGCTCCGTTTTCAAGGAAGCCGTTTATGTGAGTTGTGGATTGGCAAAGACGTCAGTGGCGCCACCTGGTGATATAATGCATTACCGTACCCAAATTCGCATTTAGCCAATCAGAAGCCGTATCTACTGCCCTGACATCCTGCGATATCAAGTCACTGACCTGATATGGCTACGATATCATGGTCACTTGACCGAATTTGGGCGCGGTAAATACCTAATCATGTCGTTTTTGGTACGATTCGGCGGCATATCAGGCACGTTTGGTCTCGCTCGACCAAACTCGCCTGATATACCACCGAAGAGTACCAAAATGTACAATTAGGTATAACAATCAAACACTGGGCTGATGAGAAAACAAAGTCAGGCAGTCTTTCTAACCTTATGGTGGTGTCTTCAGTGTTCTTGACTCCATTGTGCAGTTCAGTAAACAAAGGATCCACCCGAGTGTGAAGTTTAATCAGCTTCTGAAGCGCCTTGGCTGCGCACATGCGCACTTCTCGGTTGGGATCGTTTAGCGCCTTGATAAAAGTGGTTTGAAGTTGCGGAAGGAAAGGTTTTAACATGGCGCCAACCTGTCATGCAAGACAAAGGTAATGGTGAGAAAATAAACCATTGCAACAACAAAAACCTCAAGTGAGGTGTACAAACCTTGCCTAACAATAACCCCAGTGTCTGCAGTACCGCTACTTTGACGTTCCATGTGAAACGGTCTCCAAGGATACGAATCAGGGGCCCGGTGATGTTCACCACAAAAGGTCTCAGGGCTGCAGCACTTGTAAGGCTAATGACCTCTCCCAAACCCTTGGCAGCTTGCTCCTTTAACTCGGGTGTGCCATTAAGAATTCCTTCTCGGAATATTGGTAGAATAGGAGCGATACCCTGTCGAGAATGAATAAGACATGATATAAACACAATGAATACCACTCTCAAGAGACATACAGAGGAATGTCAGAAACGCACATAAGATACACTACTGAGAGAGCTGCAACAGAGCAAAACTCCTTGTTTGCACTTTCTACGACCACAAGAAATAGAGAGTTACTTTCACCATAAGACTAAGCTAAATTAAGTCCAAGCTCTCAATTTGGGAGTCTACTCCATTTGTTAAGTACGCCTTGCGAACCAATTTTTTTAGGTGGCATAGCGGTGGGACTAGTAGATGTTATTGTTAAGAGAAATCATATTTTCATCACTAATGAATTAACAGAATGAATCAGCTATACCTTTTTAGGAAGACAAAATCCTGGCAGATCTCCATCCTTGACATCATCTGAGACATATCTGACGGCTTGCCGCAAGTGGCTTATGTACTGCAACTGTTCAGCGGCGTCCAAACGCTACAAGGAACGTCAATAAATACAGATCAACTGTAACATGCACAATGAAGCTCAACTACAGAGGCATGCTTTGTGCTGTTAAACCAACAATTGCACGTGCATTTATCAACAAGTATCGCTATCCAAATTAACGTGATCAATACTCTGTTTGTTCCGCTTGTAAAACCTTTACTTCTGTTAAGTTTGGCTGAGGACCATGCTCAAAAAACAACTCCAGTGTCGTGACGAGATGCAAACCCTACACTTCTTTCAACAACACCTTTGAATTTGAAGAGACTGGTAGCGAACTTGTTACCTTGGTTACAGCATTCAAAGCGTTCCAGCTCATGTCCACCACCAGTTCATCAGAATCATTCATCAAGTGAATAATACCACGAAACAGGGCAGGGATGAACTGGGAATAGTCTGCTTTAGTCTCCTGACAGAAGGTGTGCAAGAGAGACACTGAGGCCTAGTGGGTGAAATAAAACATCCACATCAAATTTTACTTTAAACAGAATCTAACGCGTTGCTCACAATTATTATGTTTATGGAAGTATTTCAAGCCTAGTCCTTTTTTCCCCTAAGAACTTATTTCTTGCTTTGAAAATTCCCACAGTTTCCTAAGGGTAAACATATCAGGAACAATTTGCCGTGTTTTCTTGTGTCAACAGTTCAACATAGCTCAAGCAACAAACAGTCATTTCACCCTTCTCATGCCAGGCACTGGATCTTTAGAGGCTGCCATGAGTTCATCCATAATGGTCCTGATGCCCACATCATCTTCAACAGACAACACTAAACTGGACGCGCCTTCCAGTTCCTACCAAAAAGAAACAAAAAATGCTAAAACAACGGTCACAACAAAACGCTTTGCCAATTACGAAAACAGAAACTTTCTGAAACAGTTTTCTGTGGCTTCACTATAATATGTGAAGACTGCCAAGTACTTAGGAGACGCTAATCCAGCACGTCGATCTGATTCTAGCAGTCCAAGAATTTTTTGCCGCCTGTTAGTGACTTCAAAAATACGACACGTTATTCTGTCAGTAACAACTGCTACTGGAAAGAAGAGGTTTTCAAAGTTCTCCTGCCAGGAATGAAAGCTATGAATCCCCCCTTTAACACTGAGATACAGAAAACGCATGGAAGGTAAGCCACTGAACAAGATTAAAAAAAAAGTGCAACAAACATGTCGTATGTGGCAAGGATCAATTATCGCTTGATATTTCTTTTTTTTTTTTACTTTCGGCAGGCTTCACGCACGAGATAATTAGTACGAGACCTAATTAGTAGCAGAAACAAGAGTGATTTGATGATTGACTAACCTCTTCCTCGTGCTCCGTGCCAAAACAGCCTTGTATCGCCTTCAGCATTGCTGGTAAAATCTTACTCAGATGACGGGTCAGAGAATCACCTGCTACTGCAGACAATATGGCCAACGCACGGGTGTTGACAGGAGGAGTGATGAGCTGAAAAACAAAAGTCATTTACTGACTATACGCTTGGTTTCTAGCTAAAAGCTAAAAGCTGGAATTAATTAGGCCAATGCAACATCACCAAGAAAACGTCATGGTAAAATGTTTTTGTGTGGACTAACCTGAGGTACAAGGAATGGCAACACCACTCTACTCTTCACAGCCATTACTTGACGGAGGCCATCCAGTGCATACTCAGACAGGGACGGCTCATCCTGAAACACATCCAGACAGCTCCATGAGAATAAGTTCCTTAATGAGCACCATGCGCCGAGCAAGGTGCTTAGGACATTACGTATTTGTTAAAACAGCAGGAAATCGATTCCGATTGGTTAGTAACTGATGGATTGCATTAGAGAGTAGCACCAAGCCAGGAAACAGACAAATTACCATTTTCTTGAGCAGGTCTGGCAAAATGTCATCCAAAGCTTTAGTTCCGATGGTGTTATGAAGCTGATCAAATGTCTTGGCAGCAGCTACTCGGACTTCAGGCAGTGGATCAATCAATGCTCGACGGACAGTGGGCACGAGTGAATCTACATACTGCACAACCTACAGTGACAAAAATCAACATCTCTAAACCTCAGTCAAGTCTAGGTAAAGCGTGCACACGAGCCAAGTGGCCTAACAGGACGGAGCTTATCCCGGTCTCTCTAGCATGAAGGATTAGGAGTATTTCTATTCCCCCTTGGATGGGATGCTAGTCCATTCATTTGTATTCCCAGCATTAAATTTGTTGGTTCCCATTTATACACCTGGGTGGAGAGAGGCACTGTGAGAGTTAAGTGTCTTGCCCAAGAACACGACACAATGTCCCCAGTCTGGTCTCAAACCAGGACCGCTTGATCCAGAGTCGAGCGCACCATCCATGAGGCCACCGCGCCTCCCAGTTAAGACTAGGTTTGGTCATATTTGGGAGACTGGAAACAAGAAGATGGAAACAGGGAAACTGGAGATAGAGCTGTCTTGAAAGGCAAAATAGCTAATTAAGTTTAAATACAAGATTGTTAATCTTGTTTTACCTGTTCCTTGCTGGTTGAAGAGACGATCTCGCTGAGTCCAATACAAACTCCTTGCCTTTCATCACTTTTTTCACTGTCCAGGCCTCGCTCCAAGATTGGTATGATCTCAGGCAACACTCTCTCGCCCAGTTTACGAACAAGGTCACCAAGTGTACGAGCTGCCACCTTAAAAATGCCATCAACGTCAGCAGCCATACAACAACCGCTAGTCCAGGCTCCTCAGATTAAATCATTCTTTATTGCAAAGAGCACAAGCACTGTAAAAGCTGTCAAGCTAGCTTCTCTTTACTAATATCACGTTACAACAACAGACGTTAGCAACAGACATCTCGAAAAATGGCTTCTCACGGTGTAAGACAAGTGCCTAGAATGGTTTTGTAGTTGAGCATTTTTTTCAGTATTTTTCAGTATGTTTATATCTTTTTCAGGTCAGAAACAATTTGTTTGAGACTGTTTCTTGAACACTGACCGCCCAAACAGTATTGAGTTTGAATATCGATATCAAACCACAAAAGAACTTACTTGTCTCTTGTCAAAGCTAGTACTAGCTAAACATCCCAGCAAGAGAGAGAACAGAGTGGGAAGGATCTCTCTCAGGATGCGTGGTGTGTTAGGGACCACAACCTTCCATACGTGCAAGGCCGCTTGGCGCACCATGAGGGATACATCAGAACGGCCCATGTAGAGCCCAGCTAGAACACGATTACGACGCTCAGAACCAAGGGATTGAATAATGGCCTGTCTCAATAAAGGACACAAGAACGCAGTACAGTTAGGAGTTTAGTAGATTCGTTTTCGTAAGTATTAATTGGTGCTGGGGATGTTTCAGTGCTTTTTAAAGGAGATCAGAACACATAAATATAGCTAAAATGCTACAAACTTTTTCACCGCTAAATTAATCAGGATTTGTCACGAACGCCAAAGAAATCAATGAATTCCTAGTTCATCTAAACTTTGGTAACAATGGTCACAAAGAAAACTGGGATGATTTACGCCATTATTCAATAGGCAGATTTTCTCGAAGAAAATCCCGATTGATCACGTAAGATACGACAGACCGACATGTATGATGTAATTGTCATTTACAATGCACATCACCTGATTGGACTGACTAGTTCCAAAGTTATCGTCTTCTTGTCCCTCGGTGGTCATTTTGCCAGTCACACCGGATATCTTGTACAACAGATCACCCAGTAACTGAACAGAACTGTGTCGTATTCTCCAATTATCATCAAACAATCCTTTCTCTAACTGAGGCAGGAACAATTCAATGGCGGTGTCGGCGTACAAGTTCACAATACGCTGTCCAGCCTTGAGTGAGGTGTCTCGAACGTATTCAGACTCATCCGCGAGACCCTTGGAAGAAATACAACAACGACAACTCTTGTCAATACTACACAGCGATGATTTCTATTATTTCTATAATGTGAAGGGTTTAACATCAACTTCAGTTTTTAGAAGTTGAAAGTCAATAAAAACCGGCTAACCTTAAGTACTGAGGGTATGACAGGTCCTACAAATGGAATGAAGTCATCTTTGAATGTAGACGGTAGATAGATGTATAACATGAGGTACCCTTCCCTCACGTGCGGCGCAAGCTCAGTACGCTCTGTTGTGGAGATCACTTCCGGCATCAGCTTTTCTAGTTTGCTAGTACCCAGGGCACACAGAACTTCCCCTAGACCTGGAACACAGAAGTCAGGTACTGTTATTCGTGTGTAAGAGACCTGAAGTTTGGACAACGCAACTTATTCTTAACCAGCATAAGCCGCTAGTTAAGTCACGAGATATGGTATGTCCCTCTCGCAGAAAAATAACTGGTTAGTTGCAGAAACGTCTCAATATCTCGTACCAAAACTGCGTGTAAGGCTGGAAGTGTTGGAATCAATGTGAGAAGTAGACCCTGTTCTCATTTGTGCAACTAGTGCTGAACTAAAGTACTAAAAGACATATTGATTTCTCGCCTTCTTACAGCAAGTTTTTAATTGTGTGGTTAAGGTGACAGTAGAGTACCTACGTTCAGTTATGAAGGACTTTCCTTGCAAGTATAAAAAGCACTATGATTATCTACCTACAAATCAATCTTATTATTCATGAGGTGTGACGAGCCGTACCTTGAGCTGCTCCTGATCTATCTACACTGCTGTTTTCTGACGTCAGAGTCTCCATCAGCCAAGGTAACAGATCCTCAAAACTCTCCTCACCCATACCGCGGACCATAGCACCGAGGGCGCGGGAAGAAACTGCACGGACCTAACAGACGAATATGGCAAGGTTACACCAAATGGCTCGAGAAATAAACAAACTAAATTTCCAATTATTCCAACTCGTTACCTCTGGTACAGGATCAAGTAAAGCTTGTTTCAATCCTGGAACAACTGCTCCCAAATAAGGAGCAAGATCCTGAAAAAAATGAGAGTAAATTTTCCAAGTAGCTAAACAAACATCTAGAAAAACAACACATTATATATTCCATGTGAAGTATATATGAAATAATTCATATAAAAATCAAATATGGCAATACCTAGGGAAAATAACGTTGCATAAAACTTGTGGAATACTGCCTAATATATACGCAGTTAAGTCATCTGACTGGGTTATTCAATAACATGGAAAAAGACGAAGATAACTAGATGTTATCCAGCTCAGGTTCCAGCTTACCTTTTTGTCCGTTAGAGAATACATATTGCCAATAATCTGAGCCGCCATTTTCTTTGTTTCCGTTGAACGTTCGCTGAGCGCACGTTGCAGGACGGGCATGATTAGAGCAAGCGAAGGCGCATCAATGAAGTGAACAAAAGAAGTTTGTAAAAGAACTTGTAAACAAGGAGCAGTCTTAGTTGAAGGATCCATCAGGGCTTCAAGGAGCACAGACGAAATAGCTGCGGATAAAGAACAAAGGTTCAAATGAAAGATTGAACAATGGACTTGTAGCTAACTGAATACAACGAGATCATCACAGGGTCACAAACGTGAGTGAATGATATTACATAGTTACTTGTACATGCCATTTAATACGTCATCATGGACAGAAATAAAAAGGGAAACTTACTGTACCCTAGTTCTGTCTGTAAGGTAAAATTAAAATTCAAACTTCACGGAGGAAATACTGCAAAATAACATTTGAAAACAAACTAGCAGCAGAGAGACCACTCACTCCAAGGAAATGTGAATAAGAACCGATGATCTCCGATTTATGTAAAAAGGAAAAAAAGTAACGGAATGAATTTTACCTAAGATCTCTGGATTCCTGATGACAGAGCCAATTTGTTTCAGGGACTGGGCACCAGCATTCTGAACTTTCATGTGAGAGTCTGTGAGCACTTCACACAAGCGAGGCACAATACTGGGAAGACACGACGATAACTGCTTTGGAGCACAAAATGCCATGGCACCAAGCAGTTCAACACTGCCTAAAAACAAGCAAATTAACATCAGAGTCAAAGCAATAAGTTCCTCTTCAAAAAATTTAAAATTTCCGTGAGTTTTTTGTCGTAAAGAATAAGAAAAAGAGTAATCAGGTCTTAACAAACCCTTTTGACTCACACACAGTCAATACATACCAGTTTTAGTTCTCCAAGAATCTTCTTCCAGCGCAGCCAACAATGATGGTAAAACAAGCTTGACTCCATGAGCACTGAGATTCTTCATTACTGCACGGGCAGTATCATCAGTGGCCTGAAAACAACGATAGTCTGGAATTCTCCTTATTGATCACCATACATTTCATTGTAAGTTTTTTAATGAGAATTTGGTGTTACACCAATACCTCTTACTAACAGAATTAGAGGTTCGTATTGTAATTTACGGACCGAGTTTTTTAACCTTCGATAAATGACCCAAGCGCGAAATGCGCGGGCCGTAAATTGAAGGGGAAAAAAACGAGGATCCGTGACTTAGAGTACGGACCGACAAAACGAGGTTAGTAAGATATCTATTTATCTCTACTGTGTCTGACGGGTTCAAATTTCTTACGCACGTCGAAAGCAAAATGAGTCCATTTGAAATCGTTGTTAAATCGTTAGTACGTTTTAATACACAATTTAAAGTAAAAGAAAGTTTCAAACTTCGACTTGCCACAAAAGTCAAGAACATTTGGCGATAAATCACGAAACATTTTGGCAAAAAAAAATTCAGCGAGCCGTACAGTAGAATACGGCCCGCTAAATTAACCAATCACAGCGCGCATAGTAAGAGATATAATGATGCCAATTATAACATGAGAAGCTAATGACTTTGTTCGGAGAAATTAGTCATCGATCAGCTTACCTCTCTAACGTATTGGTTTCCATCACCGAAGCACAGCAGAAGGTTGGGAAGAACGTGTACCACATACGGTTCAAACAAACGACCCAACATGGAACAGAGCATCTCATAAGCAAACAATGCTCCTAAAAAAACAGAATTATTCATCACAACCGGATTAGATGATCTCCCAATACTGTGAGAACACACACAAATAAAGCAAAACCGACAAATTTACCAAGAAACTAAAACCCTATACTATGGTCAAAACTTTACTTGCTTCTCACTCCCCTCCCGCGGTGGAGGTGGGGTCTACTGAGCTAGGCCATATACACATGACACTAATCGAACGGCTATCGAAAGCTTACATTTTTTTAATACTTTTTACCAGAGAACGTTTTATCCTATATTATCATGATCAATTCTGGTAACGGATCCACGATATTTTTACTTTTAGAAAAGTTTAACAAATCCGCACATTGGTAGGTGTTACAATGGTTTGCCTTACCCTCCCTGTGTCGGTAGTTCTTTTTATCTTGTATAGCTTCCTGCAGAGTAGACATGATATTGAGTTGTTTAAGATACAGAATTCCCAAACCCTTCACCAGTCCTGCCAGTCCATATGCTGCACCCTTCCTCTCACCGTACACAGTGGACTCAAGGAGCTGAAATGAAAACAACCAGGTCAATAAATGACACCAACCTGGAAGGATCAATGCGCTTAGAAGTATTCTTTGAAGGGTTAGAGTGTGGGGAGCACAGAGAAAGAGAGCTGGTGGCTAGAAAAGTGAGGAATTGTGCAGAGCAGGGTTTAGCTTGGACTTGTGTTTTGTGAGGTCTAGGCAGGAGAAGCGGTATTTTGTGGGATGGAGGGTTAATTGCCAAGCCCCTCACATGAATCTCTGACTTGTGAGACAACCAGCTTAATATGAACACTGAACTTCCAGAACTTTCAGAGATGCTGCTATTCAGTTGATAATGAAGTTGAAACACATGTATAGTGAAACCTGTATTAAGCGGACAACCTTGGAACCCTCACTAGTGTCCGCTTAATACAGGGTGTCTGCTCAAAACAGGTTCTAGCATGTTGTTCAATAATAGTTAAATATTAACCCTTTTGTAACACAGTGTAAACACAGTGTAAGATTAAAGAATAGCTAAGACTGCTCATAGTACAATGTCCAGTCGATCAATGCATCAATCTGGAATAATCACTTAGCTTTAGAACGATATCGCTGAACAATATTAAGGAGTCTCAGCTGAACCTTTAGAAGTAAAATGAGCCCTTGAAGTGTCCGCTTATTGCGGGTTTTGCGCAACAAAATGGCTTAATATTGGTGTCCGCGTCAGTTTGATAGAGATGTCCGCTAAATACAGGTTTATTTTACAGTAATTGTGGGAAGAAAATTTTGGGCCCTAAGCCGGTGTCCACTTAATAGAGGGTGTCTGCTTAATACAGGTTTCACTGTAATGGAAATTGTATTTCTATGCTCGAACATACTCAGTAAAGGATTAGATTCGTCACTATCGCATAGCAAGATATGACTGTGTACCTGATTCAAGAGATTCTTCACCATTTCTGGAGCTTCTGATTTGATTGCTGGTACAAGAGGAGGAAGACAATTTGCTACAGCTTCTTGAACCTGTTAAATGTGTTCAGTTAACATTCCAGCATTCCATATCTTTATCATGATATTATTTAATCAATCTACCTGTCTTCTTGTTGATGGTAGTTCAGTTGTTTCTGTGCCTATGGTACTAACACAGGTCAAGGAGTCATCTTTATTTTCGCTCCTATTTTACTATAACTGACCAAACTGAAATCTGCAACCCTGAACAATATGAATGAGTGAGCAAAGGGAATGTTACTATGGCACTAGTTAACTTGCCTGCTGTGACGGTGTTGATAGAGCGTTCAAGAGTTTTCCAACGATTGGTCTGACCTTAAAAAAGTAAAAGAAGAACACGTTTTCAATCGCTATTTGGTCAGTAAAAATTAATTAACTCGAACCATTCCTGCTTAAAATATCAGCTAATCTTCACAACAATCAAAGGGAAAGATGGTGATAAATGAATAGTTTTACATGAAGAACCCTACCTTTGGGTCATCCTTGTCCAAATGCCGCGCTAAACAACCCATCAAAATGATCACTGATTGACGGATCGTGTCATGCGCAGAAGTGTCTGGAGCCATGTCCAAGAATTGCTCAAACACTGGTAAAAGAAGCGTTATGTTGGCCTGTGAAACAAAAAAATGACAAGACAATTACAAAAATGAATACACTAATCTAAGAAATACACGTTTACTTGGTAGTCCCCTTAGATGAAAACAATGAAAACTAACTGACAATATATGCACATATTCTTTTCAAATTTAACCCATATTGCAGGATAGACAATAACGACATGTACAATACAAACCTTTCCATGGTCATTCACTGCCTTCAGTGCCGCATTCAACATGTGTTTCCTGACTTCTAGATTGTGATCTCCGAGACCAGTTGGCACAAAAAAGACAAACAATGGAGGGACCTAAAGAACAAGAGTTAACACAACACAATTTTTTACTCACATTCCGTAAACAGGCACCTTCACATGTAAACGAGTATTTGCATTATACTATGACTTTTTTCTTCCCAAATGTCACTCAAAGAGAGTTAGATGAACAGTTTTTCAGTCAGTGGGTTGTCTGAATACAAATCACCCATATATAACAAAACTTCAGATGAGAAATTAAATTGATTCTACTGAAGGCCATACTTAGTTAATATTGTCACACAATCTGCTCGAGGTGGCCATTTTACATTCTGTTTCACCATCACGAAATTTACCTCCTCTTCAGATAGAGTGGGCGATAACTCTCCTAGAGCCAGTGCTATCCCACACCTCGCACACCATGGGTCAGATATGTCACTTGGCACCACTCGCCCTAGCTTGTCCACTACTGGTGGAGGAAGCTGAAAACAAAAATCAAGTTGACAAAAATATGTTTACAATCAGGATCTAAAGTGGTGTACAACTTAGTAGGTCCAGTAATTCAAACGGTGAATAACGTACGTTATCGACTGGATATATTGCTATCCAGTGGATAAGCGTTGGTAAAACAAATCCCTGGATAGTGATTTATCTAGTGAGCAGCATTATCAATCGTTGGAACAACCGGGACCAGGTCTTCAACTGGCTTCAGTAATTACACTCTTGAATGAAATGGAGAAAGTAGGAGAACAAGGATGAAACCTGCTGCTATTAACAGCACTTAATTGATGTTTGGCCCATAGCCAGAAGAACCAGCTCCTTATCTCCATAAAGTATGATATTTAGACTTGGTACTTTTTAATGACTTTATAAAGTAATTTTCTAGGTTTTTTTGGTTTAACTCCTTCCATGGTTTGCATTCCTATAGACCATAACAATGAAGTCATAATATGTTCAAATCTAGCCTGCGATCAGGCATTCTTTTTTCGGCAAATGGGAGAAGAAAAGAACGCCTGATCGCAGATTAATTCAAATCTTTGAACGTTGTATGCATAGTTTATGGCGATAAAAATATTGAGACAACAGAACCAATCCACGTGCGAACCTTGAGTTTGACATCATACAGATCGACTAACTGCTGTAAAATGGATGGTGCAACATCCGGGTGTTCAGTAACTGCTCCTGCAAGCGCTGGAGCAGCGGCCTTTCTGATAACTTCTACGTCATGTACAACGTCCTCCAAGAGTGCACTGCATAACGGTTCAGGAACAATGTAACCTACTTCCTGCCATAACCTGAAATGAATCAACAATCAGTTGACAATGTCAGTGTTAAGGTCATTACATCTTGGTAATGCTTTAATTTTCTGTGATAAAGGATGCATATCTAGTGAATACCTCTCTCCCACTTTAGCATTTTCTTCATCATCATCAAACTTTGCCACCCACAGTCGTCTAATAAGCTTGGCAGTCTGTGCTGTCCCATGATCCCCTGCAGACAGCAGGTCTGTAATGACCAGAAGCCCTTGCAAGGCCACAAATCTAAGAGAAGCTGCGGGAGACTCCAGGGCTTTCAGCAATACTGAAATCTCAGCTGGTAGTGCTGTAGCACAACCGTCTCCACCACTGGACGCTTTGCACAGTTCAACCAGACTAAGAGATGCAAGTTGCTGGAAAGAGAATGACCACAAAAATAGTGAAACAGTGAAAATTAGAGAAGAATTCAACTAGTACAAACAATGTACCTGTAGTCTCGAGCCCTTGATGGTGTCTGCACTTGTGGAAATAATTTCAGCTAACAAGGACAGCATCTCTTGTCTTGGCAACAAACTAGGGTCAGTCTGAAAAGGAAAAACCAAACCAACTTCATTTCCACCTGTAGATACAGTTGATATAGCGACTCATAACCAGGTGATGCAACAAGTATGATTTGCAATCACAACTGATCATGTGTCATTCTGCCATCGCAGGCAGAAATCATCCATACAGCCATGGATTATGTCAGTTTAAGGTTCCTCGTGAATGGAATGCGATACTGGATCGTAACATGTCACTGCACAAAAAAAAAATGTCCAGTGGAAAAAAAAATACACACTTCCAAGATTTCTACACGACTCAACTCATTTACCTCTTTCTGCTCGTCCTCCTTGTCTTCATTGCCATGTGCTCGTAGTTTACAGTGTTCAGAAACAACTTGTAGAACTTCCTGTCGAAGATCTTCATCTCCCTTCACAGCTTTGCCACCTTCTCTTAGCACACATCTCAGCAGAGGAAAACAGAAGGCAAATGCTGGAGCAGACATTAGCTCAGTCAAGGATTCTGATGAAGTTGTTCCAAGAACATTCACAGGTACTGTCTGGGAGTGGATGATGGAAATGACTCGCTTGGTCGCTGATAACAGATCTTCTTCACACCATCCTGGCTCAATGCAGCACATGGGTTTTAAAAGTCTCAGTGTTACATATCCAACAACCTCAGCTGATAGAAAAAAAAAAGCATAAGATACATAGAGCACCAGGATTAAGAGATATACGTAGTCAAAGCTCAAACTTCTAAGCAAATCAAGTCTTCATACACACACTTACCAAGACGTTTTTGTTCCTTGAATGCACTTTTACCAAGCTTTAGAAATACTGGCATCACGACAGGGGCTGTCAGGGGGGACTGCAGTAATGGCAACAGGGTGGGTAGGATGGTAGGTACGTAAAAACGCATAGCTTTTGGGTTTGCTGTTATAGCTGTCTCCAGTAATGACCCTACTTGGACAACCTCACTGTGAAGCTAAAAACAACAGTCAAGTAGGCCTTTTGTTGTATTGGCAGGAAGTATCTTACATTACAATATATCTATTGGGGTCACTCAAACAACCCAGACTATTCACTTCAGTTAGTTAGGTTTGTATGTGAGTCCCACATCCTGTAACTTATCTACATTCCTGATAAAAGATGGACACAGAACAATCTGTAAACACATTTGCAGGTCATACATTTTCATCTTGAGAAGCCAACAGGTGAAAAATGAGACAATGTTTCAGTCATTAAAAGCTACAGGCTTACTCAGCTATTCAGAAATATGACGTCTCTTGTGCTTTGTGTGCGTTTTGGACTCAAACGTTTATTTCTGATGGATTTTCCCACTGCAAGCAGAAGACTACCCTGTGAGCAGAGTCTCCTACAATGATATTATTTTTCTTACCTCTTTTAATCTGTCTCTGATTTCTGCTTCCTTCATCAACTGAGCTTCAAAAATTTCTTTTTCCTTTTGGCTCATCTTGTCTTTTTCTGACAGTTTTCCTTCAGCTAGCTTCTTCTTTTTTAATGACTGTGAAAATTGACATTTTCTTCAAGTTATTCAAGTTTGCTTTATCACTCATGTTTGTTTAGCTTTCACATTGTCTAAACCAAAGGACAATGCCCTATTTGATCATTTTGTTGTTGCTCTATTCCACGTATCAGCTCCTGTATCTAAATCTTATAACGCTACTGGTTCTGGCACTGTCAACAACTGGACAGAGGCTGGTCAGGGCCGTGTGTCAGGGACAGTTGACAAGGGGTGTGGACAGGGACGGGGTGGTTGTGGTGGCTTATTTTTTAACGTTAAAAGAAGGATGAGTTCACGATAATGTGACATGGAAATAGGTTAAATGTAGCCTTTCTTAACTCGATCTTTCTCTACTCTTCCACTACGTTCCCTTTTTATTGCAATCTTCAAATGCAAATGCATTTGACTTCATGCAACACACCTCACGTAATTCCATTTCCCAGATTTGGTCTTCATAGGAGTATGCCTTGGACTCTTTCTTCATGTTCTTACATTTTCCTGCCTCTGCTTCCCGGGCGCTGAGAGAGAAACAACAACAAATCAACCCATTGCTTGTTTACTAGTCACTACAACAATAGAGGCCTATTTGTAGCAATTTGCCAAGAAATCACCCAACAGAAATAATTTGATTCTCATTGTGAAATTGACATTTATGTTTAGAGAGAGCTATCTTGAATACTCCAAAGGTTCTCACATCATCTTCACATAAAAAGGAATACCTTGCTTCTTGCCTAAAAATATGGCAAAAGGCAAGTGATTGTGCTGTGCATTTTTAACCACTTGTAAACTATGTTCCATCATGGCAAGACATCTTCACACATCAAAATCAACATTTGCAAGCAGCAAACTAACCTTTCTAGAACACTGGTGTTGTAGATCTCTCCTTCAGGTGTATACATAATGGCGTACTCTTCAACTGTGACTTGTAAAAATGCTGGTTTGGATAAACAAATGACACCGTGCTTTATGAGTCTGGGTAGAATGACTTTTGGTGCAAGTTTTGCCATGGTGTGGAGAGCATTCTGTGAAGACTAAAAAATGGATCTGATAAGACAGCTAGAAACAATTTTATGAGTGATCAATTTCAAATTTCTTACCACAGTGTCACATAGCATCAACGAGACAAGTGACATAAAAACCACTAACTAGATACATACAGTAAGAAACCATATCCTAGAAGTTGTATGCCTATGACTCAATAGAAACACAAACCCAGTATGAGCTGTTCACATGATGATGGTGTGATCAAAAAGACTTAACATTTTTCGAAAAATTATAACTGAAATGAAAGAGTTTGGGAGAACTTGAAAAAGCTCTGGAAACACTTGCCTCATGCAGCTCATGTTCCTACAGCATTTCCCATTCTCCTGATGGACCTTTTTAGCTTGGGCGGAGTTTCCCTTCACAGACCATGTGATATACTCTAGAGAATTGTGTCATCTAACAATAATTATTCATTCATACCAATGCAACGATTTGAAAACTTGACAGCAAGAATTCTCAAGAGTATCATCACAAGGTCTGAAATGGGGCAATAAATAGCCCAAGCTGAAGAAGGTCCATTGTCCAGTTGCATTTCTAAAACAAATTAACTCAGTAGAGACTAGGGATACTTTTTTGATACATCCCAAAATTCTCAAATCCTATCATTTAAGGCAATCAGAAAAGAAAGTAAGATAAGGGTTTGCAGTGTTTTTCAGTCAACAGATTTCTCTCTCTTGACACCTCCCAGCATCATACTGTCAGTTCTTATAATCCTTAAATGGACATACTCCAAGGAGTACCACCTGGAATAAACAATCTGAGGGAAGAGGTACCATTAAAACGAAAAAGATGTTACCCATTCTCAGAGGGCTACAGAGTGATGAAAAATAAACACACACATGAACTGAGTTCATGCATATTTGTAAGCTAAAGCCATATATAAACTCTAGACCTAATACACAATGGAAAGTTTACCTCTTGGAATGTATTTCCAGAGACAATCATATCAATGATGGAGTCTTGATGACGATCAACAAAGCTGTTTATCTCAATCCCCAAGCTGTGTGTAATGCTGACCCATAAATTGTCCTTCAATGTAACTACATGGCAAAACACAGAGATTTCTCATAACCACAAGTATGAATTGTCAAGAAAACTACAAAAAATAATTAAACACGCTATCATGAATGATAGTCAAAAATGCTCAGATGGCCAACATTTTTGGTATCTTGGAAACCTTTCTAAACATGAGCTGAACATCAGAAAAGAAAATCAAGAAAATAGGAAGAACAGATGGCCTTACAGACAGCAGGATGGTGTGCATCTAGAAGAACTTGTAATGCAATCTTGTCTTTTGTGTTGGTAGACAGGTCTGGATTACCCTTCACAAGGGACAGGAATAGGCAACGAAGAGTAGACACAAGTATCCTGTGACTTATGTTAGTTCTTCTGGCTTCATTAGGCAAGCTAGCCTGTGGCACATCTCCATTAACAACTGGAAGGGAACTATCTGCAACATGATGCTGAAAGAATACAGGCATTCTTTTAAAATATAACGAGTATAATGTTGTGTCTTCTGAGTAATCTAAGTATCAGTAAAAGCATGTGAGTAATAAATACAGAGATCATAGAGAAGGGGTGAAACAGACATAGCCCTTATATTATAGGATGTCACAGGATGGTGTGATCTAAGGCCAAAATGCATCCATTCAGACATATCAGCAAGTTAGAAGAATTTCCTTGGAAATTTTAGAGTCAAACAAAGAGAAAATTACTACTTTACAGCAATGGGCTTTGTGTCTTCCCTGTTTCTATAGACTGGTCTGCCTAGACTAGCGCTAGCTATCTGCAGCCCAGTCCAACTGTAAAGTGTACATTAAGAAATAAAAAAAATGATTGATTGATTGATTGATTGATTGATTGATAGATAGATAGATAGATANAGAAAGAACCATAAGAACATGCATTGACATGCTAAGTCAGGCTCTTATGCCACAAGTATCTGGATGAGAACTAGAAATCTAATACAAATGGAACAGGATTGATCAACTCAGTTGTAACAAAAAACTGCATTTTAAAATGAGTTCCTTTCAGTTGAAATCACACACTAAAAGACTCACTGGAGAGAGGAAGTGTCCTGGAATACTAATACTTAGACTGTTACACTTACCTTCTGTTGTGCTAGAAGCTTTGAAAACTCAGCCAGCATTGAAGATTGCAGTTCAACTGCACTCTCCCCTAAACTGTTGAACAAATGTTGGATGCATGATTGTGTACTGTGCCTGACCTTCCAACTTGAATTAGTCAGTAGAAACACCAAAGCTCTGTACCAAGGTCTGATATTAAGAAAATAACAATTTAGATCACAATAATAACAAGTAAGAACACAAAAAAAACTGCAAAGAAAATCCAGACTGTAATATCATAGAATGGGCTTAGCTTACTGGCTGTTAGATTTGTTTAGTCTCTGTCCATGGCTTAAGAAAAGCTTCTCTATGACAGACACCAAAGAGAGAAGAGCTGTTGAGAGAAACATGTGATATTTTATTTTTCTATTTTTATAAGAAATTAAGACTTAAGTCTTCTTTCAGTAATTCAAAATATCAACAGAGAAGATGTACCTTCCTCAGATGCCAAATTTAAAAACTTTTCTGAAACAAATAGTTGTTTCTTTGTATCAAGGAGAGCTGTCCAAAATGAACCAAGTCTGGATTCTGCAAGGAAAGTTGTAATTCAGCTGAATAGGTTTGGATAATACAGTTACTGGGCAAAAGAACTCATGAATGTGCCATAAAATTAAATACCCAGACATGCTTAGTCCTCCAGATTTTCTGTAACTCTTCCAGTTAGCAACTGCTTTAACTTCCAATCTTTTAAATTTGTGGTGAGAGAATTTGTTTCATTTCCACCGTTTCATTTGAAATATAACCTTCACACCCAGCATATCAACAAGTTCATTTGTATGGCATAAGGTTACCTGCTTGCACATCAGCCAGTGACAATCTGACAAGAACAGAAGCAGCTAGAAGTCCCTCAGTTACTATGGCAGCCTGATTTGGTTGATTACTGGCTTTCTCAATAGTCTAATAAAATTATAGATCAACAAATCACTGCTGCAATCAGTATTTAAAGTGAGAGATAAACAACTGGATAAATTCATGCACGTAGAGTTACATATACACTCAATCTTACTAAATTTACTTGTATTGCCATAAGTAATGTATATCAATAGGTTTTGTTGGGTTTTGTGGTATAATATTCATTATTCTTTAAAAAAGGCTGCAGGTCAAAACAGAATTGTAAGAAGTTTGTAAACTTTTATTAAAGCAGCATTTATCACAGATGAATTGGACCGCTCTCTTTTAATTGCCTTGAGTGTACATCATAACTGAAGTAAGTAAATAGGAGAAACAGTATGAAATGAGTAAGCAAGTAAGTAAAGTTAAAGTAAGGTAGCCTATTGCCTGTAGCTAGGTCGGGTATTATAAGTAATGCAAGATAATGTACTGTATTAATGTCATGAAAAGAAAAAAAAGTCTAATTAAAATAAACATATCAGAAAAAAAAAACTAATAGTAATTTTTACCTGCAGCAGTTGTGTTAAAATATCCATTCCTTGGAGAAGAGTGTTACCTATACAATTTACCGTCATATGAAACATTTGAACAAATTAGACAGAGTAAAACATCACAGTAAAATCTCTCCAAGATCTTGCCGAGATTACAGTTCAAAATTTTGTATAATAGTTAATACTACTAGGAGAAACTGTATGCTGATGACTATTGTAAATTAACAACTGCCTTGCAAAGTGGAGGTTGGGTGCCTGAATCATCCAGGAGATTCCACTATTGGCAGCCAGCTCATAGATGGAGACCACTCCGTGGCTGACAAATCCTGACAACCCAGCCATGAGCCCACACAAGGAAACAAGAAAAACAGCCAACCGTCACACTGATAAAACAGTAGAAAGAGAGGGAGGGATACGGGAGGGGAAACAGCCTCTGAGGAGAGTCCCCACACTTAAAACACTAACACTCAATGAAAATGCCAACTCAACGCAAAACTACTATAATGTCCTGTTGTCCAAGAACACGTTGAATCTTGGCACATGTACAGATCTAAATGCCGTGAAGGCAAGTTTTGGGCTCCTTGTTGTTACATGTGTAACTCCATTAAACTGCATTTTTAAACTGCTTTTAAAAAAGGGTTATCACCTTGAAAGGCACCAGTCATGCACTGCAAGTATCCAGCCCTAACTGCTGATGTTGAGTTCTTGTTGGCCATTCCTTTCTATAAAATGGAAAATATCAGCCTGTCATAAATACAGTATAATTCACTTATCTATCAACTTGTCAATGAACAAATTAAAGGATTCTATCCTGCTTGAGCTTATCAACAGAATTATATCTCACCTTAAATGCATCCACCAGCAACTTAGGAACTTGAGTTGAGAAGTGTGTACACCAGTGACTCAACACCAACAAGCCCTGGACAAGAGCTCCTTCATGCACTAATAATGATGCAATAAAGCTCAATCAACACCAGCTATGTAGGTCTACAATGCATACGTGTTTCTACTCAGTCTAACTTTGACTAGTGATTGTATAGTTAGAATTAGTGTGTTATCAAACCTTCTTGCTGTATATATTTCACCATTTTCTCTGTAACAAGTTCACTGAGTCTCTGCACAGATGAGCTTCCACTGACTGAGTGGTGTTCTAAACTTCTGATCCCTGTAAATATTTAACAAAACATCAGCTTGAAAGAAAAACCTCTTGGCCCCACAACAAAATCTCAACACTTACTGTTCAAAAATGTGTAGAAATCAAAAAGGGGATTTTTTATTTTGAGCTTTACAAACCTTGAAGTACACCAACTCTATCATTCCACTGTGTCAGTTTACCTTCAGAACCTGAAGCATGAGAATATAACAGTTAAACTTACCTTATGAAATATTTAACTGAATAAACAACTAAAATAAAAACTACAAGAAATGAAACTATGTCAATACTAAGAAAAAGCTTTGCAAACTTTTTGATGCACCATAATAGCATCACTGCTAACAACATTTTAGCACACTGTTTCATACCATTAAGAACAACAAACAAGAAGTTGATGAGTTCCTCCAATGCCCCTGGATCACTACACTGATGTGCAAGGTTCTTAAGGATTAATGTCGCTGCCTGTCTGTGTAGATCTTCTTTGGCACGTAACTGACCTAAACATTTAATGAACATTACCTGACTTGAAATGAATTATGCAACATACATTAAGTGAACTTGCTAACATTAAAAAAACTAACACTTCTAAATTGCAGTTTCAAATGAAAATTGTAGACAGTCATAAATGTAATTTCTATAGAAGGTACAGGAAATGGAGAAGGAGTGACAGCTTCTCTCTCTTCTCCATCACAATCATTGTAATTTTGAAGATACCTCTGAAGGATTATATGGAATCTGTTACTAAAAACTAAAGGCAGAGTAAAATGCTTAAAATATGCACTTAAAATGAAATTTATGTAAACATAAACCCCTAAATAGTGTTGATTTTCTACTTGAGAATCTTGGCCTGAAGTTAACTCACCAACAACATTCTTGCAGATATCCAAGGCATACTTGGATAAATCAATTGAGACTGAAGAAATCAAATACGCGGCACCTGAAAAAGGAAATCATCATGATGTGATGCATGATGAGGGAAAAAAATTAGTTTGTGACAAGTTAAAAGCCTACAAGATGTGTAAAGTTTGTTACAATTCATGGGTGAAATGGGATCTTAACCACCTATGCTATCCTATTATTTATTCAGTCAGAATGAAGCTGTCACATCAATGCTTGTAAACCAAGGTGTTACAATTTTAAAGCTTCCAAATGATGATCCAAGTTAGCATAGCATAGTATTATTGAAGAACTTTGAGGTGTTTGGAAATGTTATGAAACACTGTCTTGAGTGTTTGATAGATCTACTACCTCAAAACTAAAACTAAGGAGAAAACGGGAAATAAAACTGTAAAAATCTAAGCTTAATAAGATCAGATACCAACACACTTGTCATGGTCATGATTTACATTGTTTAAACTTGAGGAATTATTAAATGAGTTTGATAAAATAGGTCTCAACTTACAACTTTTTATTCATTTGTACTTACATTCAAGAACAACTTCAGGGTTTCGTAGGAGAGATTTCTGCACAGCAGGTAAGATTAAACTGTTGAAGTCATCGTGGGTCACATGACACAACAAAGAACCAATGTTTACCTGCATGGTTCAAGGGTCAAAGGTCACATTAGGAGGCGCACACTGATATACAGTGTAACAAAGTGGCATGGGGCATGCTACTTGCAACTTTGTTGATGGGGTGTCAAAGCTATTCTTTTTATTTCAATATGATTATATTTTTTTCTACAGTCAGCATGATGTTTTAAGATTTTTACCAACTTAACTCAGGTAGACGCATTAACTTTTATGCCAACTATATAATTTGTTGAAAATGTAAGCTCAACAAAAGACAGTTATGTACTAGATATCTGGAAATGTAAGTGATCTCAGATATATATAACAACTTAAAGAACGGTTTCTTACCAGGACATGATTGGCAGGTGCTGTCTTGCTATTAATCACAGCCTTCACATACATTTCAAGCAATGGCTTCTGTACAGTTAAGAGGATGATAAGTCATTAGACAAAAATCTACCACTGCTGATTTAATTGCTTAATAACCTTGCTTGCTCACTGCTCATTATCAATATTGTGCACACGCTAACCTTAAATTTATTTATTGTTTCAATGTCTTTGTTCTTTGTACAGAAATTGAATAGATATCCAGTTAAGCAGCCGTGTTCCTGAAAAATTAAAGATTAAATCATAAGCATTTTAACTTTGAATTGCACAAATTTTAAGTTCTTTTTTACTAATAGTTTTCTTTCTTCCAGATAACATTTACCCAAATATATTCTATTTATTGTCAGCATAGCTGTCAGCAGTTACTTGCTAGTTATTCTGTTGAATTCACGGCTACTTGACAATAATTCTTAGGATAATCATGTGCCATAACATTGCAAATAACAGTGGGAGAAATAATGTTGTCTCTATCTGGTTTAAATCAAACTTGTCCAATCGAAGGCAGTTGTTACAAATCATGTATTTTAGGGAAGTGTGTAACTAGTGTCACCAGCCCAAAATACCACTGAATCCTGGATGAAAACACACTGAAACCTTTACTTTTCATTAAAGAAATTATGAGAATTTGAATAATAATAATAATAATAATAATAATAATAATAATGATGATGATAATGATAATGATAATGATAATGATAATAAGGGTAAACCCGTCAGCAAATGCTATTATCAAAGGGTGCCCTGGGCAACTAAAAATAGAAATGAAATAGCAATAAAAATCTAAAAAAATAACAACATATGTAGTAAAAGATAAAACTATATACAATATGTACAATTTTCACCTGACATGCCTCCATCTTGCTGATGGCTTCTGCATACTTGGATGCAATTCCTGGAACCTGGATTAGGAACATATTAGGTCACACAGACCATTATTAATATTTATCATTTGATTGTTTCTCATTTCAACACAAACATCGAAAAAAGAGCTAATAAAGGAATTTACAATGTAGAGGGTGCTGAAGAAACCTAAGAAGAAATTACAACCATTAATATTACTGGTCTAATATCAATGTAAGTACACTAGCACTACATGTAATTGAACAATGTAGGAGAAGAAATTCCCAGAAAAATGTATAATTGTAAAAATATAAAAATGAAAAATATATTATGATAAAAAATTACACCCCACCTCTCTCCATACTCTGTGTAATTTCTTCCTAGCAGCTTGACATACACAAGCTTTTCCTGCTGAGAGAACTCCATGTAGAGCTAGACATTGCACTTCAACCAGTCTAATCCACTGTGCATCATTACACAGGTCAGTGTTGGTGTAAACATGACGTACCAGGATGCATGACCAGCACAGGAGAACAAGATTGGAGCCACTGGTCACATAACTACAACAGATCAATCATTGATAAATTATGAAAACAACAGTTTTTGTAAATGAACATCAATCTTTCAATACATAAACTGCATTCATGACATGTCTTGGTAAAATGTTGTTGTCTGGGTGACAACAAGGCTATTAGGAATTGATTTAAATATTTTGTCATTCATTGAGACTAGCAAATTCTTACCTGGGAAAGGAAGAGATGATTTGTTTTTCTACATTTGAAAATGCTATGCAAAAGTATTTCACAGCATTTGCACCTAATAAAACAAAAGACAAATCAAAGTAGTCTAAGTCACTAAGAATAATTTTTATCACCAGAGCAAATGAATAGTGACAAACAAAGGCATACCTTGCTTTTCTGCAAGCACTCTAAGAACTTCCTCAACTGATTTTCTTGATTTGTTATCTCTATAAAGATTGTTCAATTTCTTATAACTAATTTCTCAAATAATAATTAATTAAAAATGATTCAAATTCTGGTAACCTAAATTATTTTATGATTATTTTTGTTCAAAAATATGGAAAATAAAATAACAGATATTACAAAATAATCTAATTAATTTTACTACATGCAACCTAACTAAATTACTGCCATGTGGAACTACCATGCACTATCATCAACTATCTAACTTAATGTTAGTTGGCGACAGGTAATGATGGTGCTTTCAAACATGCATGGTATCTGGAACTTTCATCAACTATCATCAAAATTCACTGTACTTTTTACCAGTGGAGTGATAAAAGATCAATATTTCTCAAAAAAACATGGATCATGTGTACTAAAGGCGTCCACGGTTGAATGTCCATTGATATCCTTGATCAACACTCGTTCAACATCTTGATCAACGTTTGATCTTGACATCTCGATCAATACTTGGCCGGCACTTGATACTTGATCAACATCTTGATTGATACAATCAACAATCAATCAACAGTCGGTGATAGTCGACTGACTCATATGTATCGATCGACACTTGATGGTATGTCTACAAAAAATAGTTGGCTCTTGACCGACTGTTAGCCAAGATGTCGATCCAGTGTCAATCAAGGTGTCAATCGAGTATTGATCCAGTGTCAATCGAGGTGTCAATCGAGTATTGATCCAGTGTCAATCGAGGGTTGATCAAGTGTATTGATCGACACTTGACTGCAGATGCCTTTAGTACTCATGATTCAACATCATTTATATGTGATAACACAGATCAGGTAACAGTAGAACTGACAGAACTAGTGATCACCTGTAACGATGCTGAGTCAGATAAAGTAACTTGATCACTGCTTTTACTGCAGCTTCAGAAAACCCTATGGAATCAAACAGTACAACAGAATATCAATCTTGAACTAAGAAAACAGTGCAGTTTATATTACAGAGAATTAAAGTTATTTAATCGTGGAGACCACGTGAAATAACTTGAAACTGAATTATTACGTTCACGTGGTTCCAGTGGCCAAAATCCAGCGATTATGGAGTACTTTGACCATTTCAGCGTTTCCATGACATCGATAAAAATGTTTACCAAATTAGTGCCAGATTTTAGAATGCCCCAAGGCAGCAGAATTCTTGTCTATTAGCATTTACAACTAAAAAGATAAAGTCATAAAAGATATATGGCTTACCCTCTCTTTGGATGCAAGGCACTAGAAGTTCTTCGCAAACATGCTTCCTCTCTTTGGTACTAGCAGTCGTTATTTTGTTGCTACATTTCTTCAGAATTTCGACCACCTATGAAGGAAATAAACTTGCGTCAAAGCAAGTAGATATAGACTAGAATAAGAAAAGTAAACTGGATAAAACGAGAAACTCTCCAAACACTACCTCCGCCGCCATCTTGGCCACGTACTTTTTGAGCCCGTCATTCACGTGGTTCGATGTTTATATCCATGTCATGTAAAACTCATGTAATGTTGCCTATTCTTTACGCGTGCAACATGGCGTCAAATCTCGGTTCGAGTTTGAAGTGGCAAGAACTGTTACCAGAACACCCAGTTTTTCAAAGGCTTACTCAAAGACATGTCGATGCAAGCTCAGAAATAACAGAGGGATCTCAGCAGAGAGCAACTAATAACATTTTGATTGAAAATGATGGCGAAATATTCCTATGGGATTCCTCGAAGAGTAGTATACTGACAGCAAATCTAAAAAACTTGCATTTTGAAAACGAACGGTCTGCCAAATTTCAAGTGAGTGAGAACTTCATTTTATTGTAACTGAATGATAAAATGTTTGTCAATATTTATTGAATGATTGATTGGTCAGTCGATTGATTGATTGATTGATTGACTGACATTTGCTCTTTTATAGTATCCAACTTTAGACAATGCACAATATTTGAATACTTAGTTATTTTATTGAGAAATTTATTGTGTTGTATGCACCTTAATAACCTTAAGAATCAATCTGTTGTAAGTCAGATAAAGGGTAAGTATTTCAGCTTTGTGCACTCCAGATGATCTGAATCTTGCATTCTGATTGGCTAAATATGAGGTCCATATTTTCTCAAATGAGTATTTTCATTGCCACCCTGTTGTGTGGACTTGTCCATTTAAGTAACCTCTCTCCTTCGTTAGAGATGATTCTGGCCATTTCAGTGGATGTTTTGCTCTTCTTTGATGATGTTTTGTTGTCCTGGTCTGCCTGTGATCTTCTCATAGAGTATAACTGCAGAGCTTTGGTGCACACAATGGTCATCGAAGCTGTCATTGGATGCAGTGTTTCTTTAGACACTCTTAGTCTTTCAAGTTGTCACACTCATCCTGCTGACTTAGCAACAGTTTAATGTTATTGTTTTAACTTACCAACAGGAATTTGCTTGCACAAAGGCTCCTCCATTTGTCGTGGATTCTATGCTATTCAGCCCATCATCAAAGTACCTATTGCTCATAGGAGAAAGAGGAATATCAGTTCTTGAGATGCCAATGAGATGGGGAAAGTTTGCTGAGTATGATGGTGGAACTGAATCTGTTAGTTGCAGGTATTTTAAAACAGGGTTCTCTCAGAAAGTGGGGAGGTATTAAATGTAGTCAAATTTGAAGCAGTTTTCAATAAAGTGTCATCCAAAGCCAAAGTAATCACAGTACCCAAGCACAAAAGCCATGAACAATGCAATGAACCGATAAGGACACAAAGCAAATACATGTTTCCTATACCAAAGTCAGCAAACTGGATTTAATCAAGTTGTGATTAGATTTCATTTTGGCAGCTCACTGTTTACTTGAGAAGGTAGCTAAAACCACCAAACCAATAATGGAGCATAGTCAAGAAAAACCAGAGCAATTCTGGATAACTCTGGACACTCATTTGAAACAATTCTGTAGCAGGAGGAACTGATTTCTTGAGATTTAAAGCAGTTTAAATGAAGTGGACAAGAAAATGACTCAGATTTGTTGATGACGTTTTAGGACAAGGGCAAAGTTGTCTTTAATTAACATGGATAGGATGGTGATCTAAGGGTTCACTCACCCCAAAGAAACTGCTATATGGGAAAGGGAAGATGTTTGATTGTGCACAGGGAGGTACAGAACAGGCCTTCTGCCACTCTTTTTGACTCACAGGTGCAGTAAATTGGGGATATGATGATCTCAGATGTGTAAAAAGTTGTTTTGTCTTGTTGACCCGTATTGTAATTATTTATACCCAAGCTCTGTTTCAGAACAATTCCTATTGATCCAAGATTCTATGTAACTCATCACAAGATAAAAGTTCTTGATGTTAAGTGGCATCCAGGAAGTCAGGCTGACATTCATCTCATGGTTCTTACTTCAGATAATAACTTAAGGTATTGTGAAGCTGAACTGATTAATTTGGTATTTTTCTGAAGAAAAGTCCAATTAGGTCTCCTTATACATTAATTATCTGTTTTTGCTTTCAGAGAAACACATCAGACAACAACAGTTTATTTCTACTACTGTAAACAACTAAAAGAATTTACAAGATTATAATTATAAATAAATAAATAAATAAATAAACAGTACAGTACATACAGTAGTGGGACACCCAAAATAACTAAAAAGCTAAACTAGTTGGGTGACCGTAATTATAATAATTAAAAATGTGAGAGTCAGGAAAGAGGCACAACAAATACATTGGTACACATAAATATCATAAACTTGGTACAAGAGTAAATATACAAAACAAAACGAAATAAATAGATATAAACCATCAAAATATCAGTAAAGATTAATAGAGACTAATGAAATGCAAAGTTAGTTCTTTTTTAAATTGATTAGAAGTACAACACTTGAATCTTTCATCGAGTTCATTCCATAATTTAGGTCCATTAAATCGAATATTAAATTTGCCATAATTTGTTTGAATTTTTGGAAGATAGAAAGTAGATCTAGATGCAAAGCGAGTATTTACATTATGTTTACAAGATGTTTTGACAAAAAACAGAGGTAATCAGTTGAGGGGTAGGGTCTGAAGGGATGGTGAATTTTTTTCCTAGAATGGGACACCATTATATAAATGGTTTCCTGGTTTTGGGTTCTGAAAAAACATCTGGAAAATGACTGTGATATAAACAATGTCATGGACCCTACATTAACGCACATGCCTATTAAAATATAAGCAGTCTAACACAGACTTGCCTTACTTTATTTGGGTTTTTTAAATTTCATTTTAAATATCGGTAGTAAATTGTCCCAGGATGGGGTATCTGGATTATATCAAATCGATTGGTGTCATATTTCAGCATATAAATTGATTGTGTTCTAAAGTGCCATTTATTGTTGTCATGTTACTTCAACAGACTATAGCAGTACAGTGCTGATTCATTTATATTGACTAGCATCTATCATTTTTTAATTTGCTATGAAAGACTGTAAAATCTTATCATCATACACTCTTTTGGCCAAGCCATTAGGTAGACAATGTTGTAATCTGATATTGTCATTCAGAGAGGACAGTCAACCTTGTTTTTTGAGTATATAAACTTCTCAATCACATCTTGTTTTGCCTTTTAAACAGACTTTACAGTGTGCTCAAACCAACTTCTCCAGAAGAAATTATTTCCTTGGGGGAGTCATCTTCACTGACAGCAGAATACAGCAGGAAGTCTTTGTCTGTTGGATCGATGTCAACATTTGCAGCTGCTCTTGGAGAGAAAGCCGTTGCATTTGATTTTGCCCCACCTACTACTGCCCCTGTCCTCAGAGGAAGGCTCAACTCTAGTGATGCTGAACCAGATGTCACTCATCCTATCTTCGTTTTGAGAGAAAATGGAGACATTTACTATCTGGTTCACAGAATTTCTCAAATGAGGTACCCCCGTAAATCCTCAAATTAGCGCCCCCCTCAAATAAGCACCCCCTCCTCCCCCCTCCCTTCGCTCCCTCTATCGACCAAAATTTAAAATAAGCCCCCCATCGAATAAGTGCCCCTCCCCTCCCCCCATTTTGTTGACGAGTAACGAGACAGCAAAGGATGTATAGTTTTAGTTGTGTAGTATTAGATTTGTGCATTGTTTCAGTTTGTTAACACATTAAGTTTGGAAAAAATTACAAGCACTAATGGTGCTGCAATTTAAAGTTTAGGATCAGCTTTTTATGCTGATAAACAGTTTATGTTGTTTTTTATGTGCAGATGATGTATTAAAAAATGATCATGCAAGGCCACGATTTGGGAAAAATTGAATAAGCGCCCCTCCTCGATTAAGTGCCCCCCGTCTTCTTCTAAATTTGAAATAAGCGCCCTCGGTGCTAATTCAAGGATTTACAATAATCCTAACCTGGTCCTCTGCAGGATTTCAGTACATTCTAATTACATAAAATATTGAATTATTTTAAAATTAATATTTTCCAGGTACATTCTCAATATTCTAGTTTTTAACAGGTGCCAGCCACAGCTGACAGGTCCATTGACAATGTACCCTGCAGCAGATGATAATTATGGACTGGATGCTTGCTCCTTGCTTTGTCTTCATTCCCAGCCCCCTGTTATCGCCATGGCAACAGCAAGTGGAAAAATTTATCACTGTATTGTTTTGGAATCAGAAGAATCTTATGATCCTGAGGAGGTAGTCTGACTCTTTGGCACTGGCTTAGGCATCTTAATTTGATATTTGTGAAGTCATAGTGTCTGAGGAGGAGAGATGGTGAATACTATTTTCATCAGGATTTGTTATTTCTCTTTCCATCACATTGAAACACCATGAACTGAAGCAACACACACTACCAGTATCCATAAAGCAACCTTTACCTTATGCATTGTCATGTATGTTTTTAAGCAATTATAGGACAATAGATATGTCAAAGATCAGACTTTGTTGACAGGAACTTGATATCCCACTTTACATTATTTGTCCATTTACTTGTAAATGGACAAAATTGTAGGTTCTTTAACAATCCCTTTGAGTTGATAATGAAGGTGAAGGAGAAAATTAAATTAATCAGCTGAGAGATGTTAGTTTGGTGGCATTAAAAGATATGTATTGCAGCTCTACATGTAGGTAAGGTAAAATCATTGAAAGAGAATTGACTATAGTATTAGATACTTTGGAGACACCACTTTCATTGCTTGATATGTCACCAGGGTTTTACCCATAATCAGTTACATTACCATGTAGTATTTAATAGAAGTTTGTTGACTCAGCCTTTTAACATTTCATTCCTTTATAGGAAATAGAATCCTGGAACAGACATGGAATTGTCAAAAGTGATGCGTGTCGGCAAAACCTTTCTCTGTTTGTTCATGAATGTGTAGAACTTCGGGTCTCTTTATTAAACGAAGCAACAGACAGAAGTTCAGCTGGGGATTATTCAGATGAAAATGAAAACATGGCCCTGTTAAGACTACAAAGAGGTACACTGTACCCTGCAGTATAAGTATTTGGAACATAGGGCCTTCACACATGTCAGGTGGTGTGGCCTAGTGGTTAGGGAGCTAGATTTGCAATTTAGAGGCACCAGCTTCAAATCCTCCTCCCTGCCACTAGATATATTTGTGTTCAATCCCTACACTTTGTAAAAGGCCAACCAGTCAGTTTTCTGCCAGTGAGGCTCTGTACTGACAGAACGCCTATAACTGGACTCTTCAGGAGCAGAACTGAAGAGTTACCATTTAGAAGAAGTGACTGCTTAAGGAGGTTAAAAATGCTGTGTTTGTACTTCATGTCTCACTCATTGTAAATTATAACATTTATTTGGGTCACATAAGCTTCTTAGCTTCAAGCACAGCTGTGTATAAAGAAACTTGCTTTAAATTTTCTTCATTGTTAGTATGTCATATTGTTCATGTCTATGACACCACTGCCACTGATTATTAAATAAGTAAGGAGGATTTTAAGAAACATTTAAGACTCAATTCAGTTATTGAAAAGTTAAGTCAGGCCGCTGCAGATGCTGTTTGTAATGTACAGTCCCTGTTTTGATCTACAGCTGTTGAGGGGTAAAAGCAAGTATAACTGGGGGGTAACTGTGCAAAATATATTAGGGGAAGGGGAGGGGTGAGATTGTCTTGAATTAGTATCCCATCAAAGTTGAGTAAAGTACCCCTATAGTTCGTCATGCTGTGTAAACCAGAGACAAGCCTTGGCTTGACCAGTCGCTACACTTTACTCATAATTGGGTATGGTTTTCTTTTCCTGCAGATCCAGGATCACCATATCAGTATATTTGTTCGCACAATACCGGAGTACACAGCGTTTCATTGCCATGGGCTAAGAAACTACAAAGTTATTGTCTGCAAGGTAATATTTTAGTAATTTTTTTTCCTGAAAAAAAAAAAAACAATAATTATAATAATATTATTGTGATATGTTATTTGCAAAAGGTTCTTTACAGACATATTCTCATCATGAACTGCATTTTTCTGACTTCCTGTCTGTGCCAGGTTGTTCTGTTAAACGTAAAGTAAAGAAATGATCCTTGCATTTGTGTTTCCAATAAACAAATACAAAGACACAAAAAAATTAACAGAAAAATTCAGGATTCTTTGCAGATCACATAACTTCATTTGTGGTCACTTACATAAATGCTGCATTACAAAGTATAGCATTCAGTTTTAACTATGACATTGTGATCTCAGCATTGGAAACCTTAATAAAACAAATTAGTTTTCCCTCTTTCTCAGATGGTGAAGGTTCTTTTGATCCTGAAGAAGCTGCCATTGTATATCACATGATATGTACTTCCCCGACAGCAGCAAGGTACATTATCTTATCTTAATTGCATATTTCCTAGTTAAGGAATAAAAATGATTCTCCAATGACCATGTGTAAAACTTATTCTAGCTTTAAGTAGATATAGATAAATGGGTAGACCTAATTTAAATTCCTCTCAACTTGCTGTTTTCTGACTGTTTATATGTACATGCATCTATATTTCCCTGTTTCAGTTTGTCATCTCCAATCCTTGGTGTTTGTGTGGTAGACAGCAGAATTCTTGGTTCTTCAATGCTATGTTTGACCTCAAAGATGGAGTGCATTGTTAAACCCTTGAGGTAAAAATCATTGAAATCAATGTATCATTATAAATTTCTAATTTGTACAAAATGTAAGTCCAAAAGTTACCTAGATGTAATGAATTGAACTACAATTTATTTTATTTTCTTTCATTTTGCATCATTCTTGATCCTAGTTTACTGAATAGACCACCCTCTCCATCAACAACTGAAACAGATGAAGAAACCAGCTATGAAAGGTCAGTTGTCAGCCCTATTCAACCTCAAAAGTATTAAAGCAAGAAATATGTGCTTGTCAGAAAAACAGTGTTAGTAGCGTATGAGTAAAGTACCTGACTGTTGACTTTTTCTGTTGGTTGTTTTACTTACAGTGCAGCGTTTTCACCAATCCGACACTTGAATGTGGGATTATTTAAAAGTCAGATTGAGAAGATATTAACAAGAAACACTTCAACACCTTTGTTAAGGTTAGTTCACCTGTGAACCTGACTTAGTGACATGAGTGATCACAACTCATTGACAGGTTGAAACAATAAAATAATAAAAAAATTAACTAATAAGGCGACAAAAACATCTTAGTAATGGAAAGTACTTCCAAAGCCATAACACATGAAAGGGTAAATGGGCCCACTCCACCTATTGCTGCTCCTCAGAATGGGGTCCTAGTGCATCAGAGGCACACCCCCCCCCTCCCCCATATAATGCATTTAGGATGTAGAGATCTTTGCTTGTTTGCTGGTTGGTTGGTTGATTTGTTTTTTATTTGGGAAGGGGCTTATATTTGGCAGTTTACTGTTATCAGTAGACCTTCATCAAACCATATTTACTTGATGACCGAATGTATCAACCTTTAACACTGCCTCCCAACTGTCCCACTAACACATCATGCTCCTTCTTTACTTTGCCTCTCCAAGCACAATGACTGTTGTGAAGGTTCTTCATGCCAACATGACACTGTTTAAAGTAGAAAAATTGTCTTGTAGAGCTGGCAAAGAATCTGAGAAACTCTCTCAGGAGGACTGTTATCAACTGCTTATTCAAGTACAAGAAATATTGAGGAAAGAGTATATTCAAAAACAAAACAAGGCCAGGGAAGAGATTGAAAAAAGGTAACCGCAACAAGTGTATAGTATAGAATGAAACAGGAAGCCACAGCAAGGACATGTCTATGCCAGAAAAAAAGAAGAAAAATTATAAATATAAACAATTTGCACAAGAGTCCAAGTTTTAAGTCAGGTGGTGAATCAAAGCAGGGTACCCTTCTGACCTTGCAGTCAAAGTGTTAACAGAAATGTTTTGTCTCAGAATCTCAATCCTCAAAGACCAGAAGGAGCAACAGAACCAACACTTGGTAAAACTTCACAGAATCAGTGATGAGCTTAGAGAACAAGCTGCTGCACTGGGAGGAAAGCTGGATGACACATCAGAGAGGCATATGGATCTCATTAGAAGGTAGATATTAAATAATTTGGTGACAGTAGCATGTTCAGTGTGTTGGTAGAGTTTGATGACACTTAATATGAAATAGTTAGTGATAGGTATTGATTTGCTGCCCATATACAGATCTATACCTGTACCACTTTAATTTTTGATAATTTTGTAAAATGTTTTCCTGAAAATTATTTTTTCCATGAGAATAACTCTCTCCTTTAGTATAACTTTCCAGGAAATATAATTTATGTCTGCCTCTCTGTGTTTGGAGGGGGTAGAGTGGGGTACAAAGTGATGACACTAAATTTATAAAATTTGTATTATTATTTCTTGCAGGCTGGAATCTCTTTTCCGTTTTGTTCACAATGGCATTCCAGTTTTATCCCATGCCGAGAGTAAAATGAAAAAAGAGTTAGAAGACATTGAAACATTTTTACAATTCCATAGGGAATCACTGGAACAGGTACAAAGAGTGTCATGATGACAAGATCTTTTGTGTTTTATTTGGTTGTTCTTGTCTACGGGAAGAAAAAGTAGCATGAAAGGCATCCATGTAATGAACATTTTTTTTGGACATCGCATACATTTACAGCTTGTGTTGTATTGGGTATAACCTGTTTTCAGAATGTTCTATTGTAGAATCAGTGGATTACATGGTTAAGAAGGTCTAATCTTCTGATAACTGTTTCTTTTTTATTACAGATTGAAGCAAAAAATAAGTATTCAAAAAAGAGTCCACAGAAGTCCACATCTTCCAAGTTACCAGTTCTTAATGTTTCCCAGCAAAATAACATTAGAAAAGTACTTAGTGATGAGTAAGTGCACAGCTTGTTTGTTACCTTTCAATTCCACCTCTCCTTACTGTTTGCGTATTCAGGTGGTGTCTGTCCTTGGTTGATATTTTCTTTACATTTCTTATCGCTTGTCCACCTAACCATGTACTGACATCATCATGGAAAATAACAAAACTTGATGAAAAATGCTCCTACACTATAATTATGTTATCTATAACATGTACACTCAGAGATGGAAATGGAATCTGAGATGTGTTTGATATGACTTGTGTTTGGGACAGCACGCTGAGCATACAGTTAAGGGCAAAATGTAGATTGGGTTGTTTGTGAAATTGGATTTTGATTGTATCGCCATCGCTGATAAAGTGATTCCCACAAGAGACTTTTTAAAGTTTATAAATGAAATCACCCAAGACAGGCAATAATTTGTTTTCATACAGCAATAATCACATTTGTCAATGAAGCACTTCTGAGCTATGTGTATGGTTAGAAAAGCCATAACGGCTGATTTGCTATTCTTTACTGATGAAAAGAATACTGACCAAACTGTCTTTTCATGGTCTCAGAAATGTTGCTTTAAATGTCAAGTTTTAAATTTTAAAAAGCACTATGACCATTTGTCCTGACTTATTGCATTCAAACTAGCCAGCCAGTGCAGATGAATTTCCAGCTTCAATATTTTTTCTGCATCATAACACAACAGCCAGAAATTTATCTGTGTTACACGCTACATTCAAACACTCCCCATATTCCCATGAGGACACTGATGACTTATAAATTGCAAAGATGTCTGATATTATTGTGAACCTGTTCAGAAAAAGGAACAGTATTGTGTAGCAACAAATAATATTGCATGTTTTTACTGATGGCTTTGTTTGTTTTTTAGGAGTGAAATGATTACCGACCTTGTAAATCAAGTCAAAGAACTCAAAATTCAAGTTGGATTGTAGTCTTAGTCAATAATCAGAGCCTTCCAAGATACATGTGTCAGATATGATATGAAAAGACTGAAAGGAAATATATCTAGTGACACAAAGACCACCTTTGTAGATTAGGGTTGGTTCATCTTCTATAAAAGTGTGAAGTTTATTCTGATGGTGGAGAATAATTACTTGTGTTCAATTGCATCTAAATTACTACAGGTTTGTAACAGTTATGAATCTGAATCAACTTTTGTGTCGACTAATTTACTCCATTTTATTTCAATTGATATTAATTTATTTGGTTTTGCATAGTGTACATGTAAAACTTTACTTCAACACAGCACTGATTATTGGTAGGAAGTTTGCACAGCTTGGGGTTCAAGATAGATTAAGATTCCTTATCTTCCTTTAGTTTGTTGAGCATGATCAAGGGAGAAAACAAAGGAGAAAAAATATGAGGAAAAAAAAAATAGCTTTTACCTAGCCAATGTTTAGTTTGGTGTTATTAGGTTGTTATAATTTGACTGTATATAGAAATCTACTTTTTATTAAATAACCATTTATTAGCAAAACTGTCTTACTGTCTTCTGTCTGACGTTACTGCTATGAGTGTGTCATGAGAAATGACAAGTCAATCAAACAATCAATTTTATTCTAAAAAAAAACACTAAAGTTGAACTTGACTCCATGACCATCCATGAGACAGAGATAATTTTTGTTATTTCACTTAACAACTATTTTTTATGAATGGAATCTTGACAAGACTGTATGTTGATGTTATGTGGACACATTTTTAAAGGGCAAGCTTCCACCAATGGATAAATTAGGTGGTAAATTGCATGTGTCAATTGATTTAAATGTTCTGGTGTCCTTAGGCTTTACTGATGTGTAAAAATTGATGACATCCTCAACAGTGTTCATTTCGTTTAACTGGAAATTGGGTACCAGAAGACCAAACTCTTCATAACATCTGTTAAGAACCTGAAGGTGGAAAAAAAGGTTATTTAAGGGACTGGTCAAAAGTACAGGGGGGGGTGGGCTGGAGCATTTGAAAATGTGGTGGTTAGAAAACACATGACCCACCCCTTCCATGTGGCACAAAACTAAGTGACCCACCCCTAAATGAAGGTTGAAAATTACGCGACCCACCCCCTATAAAACATGACATTTTTGGTTGCATAATCTAACAAAATCATATTTTGTGTATGGAATTGAGATATTGTTCACATTTAAGATTTTTTCCTTAACAATAATACAAAACCATCTAAAAATAATATTCTTTTCCTTTACTTTTGCAACTTTAGGTCATGTCTGTAAACTTTAAAAAAGCTTGACCATAAACCTTTCACACTTGGCCTTTAGCCTCACTACCCGTAGAACAGTCATCCACCTAGAAAAATTGGCTGTAGTGAGTTCTGGACTCACACAGCCTGCAAACAATGAGTCCTAGGCCCAAGAGTGTGAGNTCCCTAATTGTTCTGAGTCTGCCCAATGACCTTCCAAACCAGAGGCTTCTTGTTAATGCAAAGTGTAAATGTAAATTGTAAGGTAAGTAGCAGATCTTGAAACCCCCTCTTGAGTTTCCCCTAGGCTTTGTTATCTACAGCCCCCTAACCATCAAACTACTGCCACTACATAAGGTTTTGTAGCAATGCACAATCATTTTTCTTTGAACTNCTTTTTGACCAGTCCCTAATTGTTCTGAGTCTGCCCAATGACCCTCCAAACCAGAGACTTCTTGTTAATGCAAAGTGTAAATGTAAATTGTAAGGTAAGTAGCAGATCTTGAAACCCCCTCTTGAGGTTCCCCTAGGCTTTGTTATCTACAGTCCCCTAACCATCAAACTACTGCCACTACATAAGGTTTTGTAGCAATGCACAATCATTTTTCTTTGAACTTGCCTTATATTTGACAACAAGGTCTTGGACTGACTGATTCTGCCATTCCTGGATGTTAGGTATAGCTTCTGTGACAATGTGTTCAAGTTTATTCACAATTTCGTGCGTCTCCATACTGTATACTGACGGATCCTCAGCCTTGACCAGTTGATAATAACTGCAATGAAAGTTTAAATGTTAGTATTATTCATCAATGTATGACAAGGTGACCTCTAGAAACCACCAGGCTTTTGGTCAAGGCCACCTCGTACATAACAATACGGTTACATAGATAGTGCTACAGTGTGCGGCTTTCCCAGCTCAGTAATTATGTTACTTAAAACTCTATCAGTTTTTTTCTTAAAATTGGGAAAACTTGGCAAAGAAGTGATTGTAACAGGAAGGGAATTCCAGATCTTTGCACCTTGGTAAAGAATACTAAACTTAAAGCTGTCCGGCTCATAGAAACCCAGACTCAATGGGAGGCCTGGGAGCACTTAAAAGTAACGGTTTGAACAAGAACTCTTCCTTTACTTTATTTTATTTGACTGGAAATCAACTTACTCGTTGTTGAGTAGTTGAATGGGTGCTGGGAATAAAGCCCTAAGTGACTTTTGGAAAATTTAGAGGTACCGTAGCCAGGATGGAAATACATGTACCTACTGGCAATTTTCACAGTTTACTCTGATTTTAATTCTTGTCTAAAAAGACCTCTTAATTATTACTGGGTCTTTTTAGACAATAATGAAAACCAGAGTTAACCGTAACCATGGCTGGAAGTGGCTGGAAGGTATTTCACTGCTGGTTCTCTCAAAGTTTTCCAAAAGTCACTTTCAGCATTATTCCACTCACCCCTTCAGTTGCATTTGCTCTGCTGTGAAATCCTCACTGTCCTCAGGAGTGTTTGTATTGAAATATATGGCTTAAGAAGCTGGAATTCCTTGTTATGTAAAACAAATTACAGTACCCCTTTAAGAACTATTGGTTACCTACAAATCTCTCAAGAAATTGTAAGCTAAGGCACGAATCTTAAAAGGAGTCACCCTCCCTTTGCCTCCCCCCTGCACATTTGAGCATAGTCGTAGGAATTTTTAATGGATCTGTCACTGCACTACAAAATCCAAATCCTCAATATTACCAACAGTACTGATGTTCCAAGACCCTTTGGCCGGGTATGCACGTTGCTCTCTATCCCTTTATAAATCCTTAGTTTATTGCACCTTTCACTCCTCGAAATTCGCAATCTGAATCAATTGTGTTTATGAAAAACAGGAAGTATAGCTTTAAAAATAAGACAACAAACTAAGGAAATAAAAATACCAGAATTTGGTTCTAGTCTTAAAATACTTTCACTACAGTTAAGCTCAAAAGTTCTTTGAATCTGAGCCACTTAGTTCACGAACCTCTCAACTGTTTCCTTTTCTTCAGGCGGTGCTTTCTCGCCAAAGACGAACCTTTTCACCCTTTCGATAAGACGATCTGTTTTTGTAAGATCAGTACTAAAATACAATCTACCAACGGTCCGCGAAACTCCTTTGAACTTTGCAAATCCGCACCAACTTCGTGCTACGCCCGCCATGTTGTTACCCAACCATACCCAGTGTTCTCGCGGTCGCCACGCGTGTGCACCGCCCCGTCTCTCGCGGTCAAAGACAAAAATAAAAGGCTCTTTGAAGACATTCAAAGACATACAAAGACATACTGAGGGATGCAAAGAAGTCCGATCACAGGATGAAAAGAACTGAAATCGTGACCTTAGAAATCTCAGACCTCTAAAAATAATACGAAAATCGCAACCGCAAAATCGCAAATTGCGTGACAAGAGAAAGGGACCAATCATATTGTTCAGTCATGACATGATTGAACTGCCATTCACATGTAAATTATTTTGGGTGTGCTGATTTTAACTTGATGTTTTATTCTAAACAAGTTTAATCGGGGTGGCACGACAGAAACTTTTGGAAAGACAAAAATTTTTTAAAATTTCCTCTTCTACTGCATTGTTTCAACGACCAAGATTAAAAAAATTGCAAATCCACCATACACTTGTAATGTAGAAGCTTTCTCCATGATCTTACACTGCGAAGATCAAATTGTTTTGGATGTACAATTTCACTTGCAAGTTGACGAGCCTTACGCTAGCGGCCAAGCATGGATGCCATTTCTCCTCAATACTCAGACTTTTTTCAGTGTTCTTGTGATGCTTATAATCACTAAACTGGGCGTTTTAANTCCCTAATTGTTCTGAGTCTGCCCAATGACCCTCCAAACCAGAGACTTCTTGTTAATGCAAAGTGTAAATGTAAATTGTAAGGTAAGTAGCAGATCTTGAAACCCCCTCTTGAGGTTCCCCTAGGCTTTGTTATCTACAGTCCCCTAACCATCAAACTACTGCCACTACATAAGGTTTTGTAGCAATGCACAATCATTTTTCTTTGAACTTGCCTTATATTTGACAACAAGGTCTTGGACTGACTGATTCTGCCATTCCTGGATGTTAGGTATAGCTTCTGTGACAATGTGTTCAAGTTTATTCACAATTTCGTGCGTCTCCATACTGTATACTGACGGATCCTCAGCCTTGACCAGTTGATAATAACTGCAATGAAAGTTTAAATGTTACTATTATTCATCAATGTATGACAAGGTGACCTCTAGAAACCACCAGGCTTTTGGTCGAGGCCACCTCGTACATAACAATACGGTTACATAGATAGTGCTACAGTGTGCGGCTTTCCCAGTTCAGTAATTATGTTACTTAAAACTCTATCAGTTTTTTTCTTAAAATTGGGAAAACTTGGCAAAGAAGTGATTGCAACAGGAAGGGAATTCCAGATCTTTGCACCTTGGTAAAGAATACTAAACTTAAAGCTGTCCAGCTCATAGAAACCCAGACTCAATGGGAGGCCTGGGAGCACTTAAAAGTAACGATTTGAACAAGAACTCTTCCTTTACATTATTTTATTTGACTGGAAATCAACTTACTCGTTGTTGAGTAGTTGAATGGGTGCTGGGAATAAAGCCCTAAGTGACTTTTGGAAAATTTAGAGGTACCGTAGCCAGGATGGAAATACATGTACCTACTGGCAATTTTCACAGTTTACTCTGATTTTAATTCTTGTCTAAAAAGACCTCTTAATTATTACTGGGTCTTTTTAGACAATAATGAAAACCAGAGTTAACCGTAACCATGGCTGGAAGTGGCTGGAAGGTATTTCACTGCTGGTTCTCTCAAAGTTTTCCAAAAGTCACTTTCAGCATTATTCCACTCACCCCTTCAGTTGCATTTGCTCTGCTGTGAAATCCTCACTGTCCTCAGGAGTGTTTGTATTGAAATATATGGCTTAAGAAGCTGGAATTCCTTGTTATGTAAAACAAATTACAGTACCCCTTTAAGAACTATTGGTTACCTACAAATCTCTCAAGAAATTGTAAGCTAAGGCACGAATCTTAAAAGGAGTCACCCTCCCTTTGCCTCCCCCCTGCACATTTGAGCATAGTCGTAGGAATTTTTAATGGATCTGTCACTGCACTACAAAATCCAAATCCTCAATATTACCAACAGTACTGATGTTCCAAGACCCTTTGGCCGGGTATGCACGTTGCTCTCTATCCCTTTATAAATCCTTAGTTTATTGCACCTTTCACTCCTCGAAATTCGCAATCTGAATCAATTGTGTTTATGAAAAACAGGAAGTATAGCTTTAAAAATAAGACAACAAACTAAGGAAATAAAAATACCAGAATTTGGTTCTAGTCTTAAAATACTTTCACTACAGTTAAGCTCAAAAGTTCTTTGAATCTGAGCCACTTAGTTCACGAACCTCTCAACTGTTTCCTTTTCTTCAGGCGGTGCTTTCTCGCCAAAGACGAACCTTTTCACCCTTTCGATAAGACGATCTGTTTTTGTAAGATCAGTACTAAAATACAATCTACCAACGGTCCGCGAAACTCCTTTGAACTTTGCAAATCCGCACCAACTTCGTGCTACGCCCGCCATGTTGTTACCCAACCATACCCAGTGTTCTCGCGGTCGCCACGCGTGTGCACCGCCCCGTCTCTCGCGGTCAAAGACAAAAATAAAAGGCTCTTTGAAGACATTCAAAGACATACAAAGACATACTGAGGGATGCAAAGAAGTCCGATCACAGGATGAAAAGAACTGAAATCGTGACCTTAGAAATCTCAGACCTCTAAAAATAATACGAAAATCGCAACCGCAAAATCGCAAATTGCGTGACAAGAGAAAGGGACCAATCATATTGTTCAGTCATGACATGATTGAACTGCCATTCACATGTAAATTATTTTGGGTGTGCTGATTTTAACTTGATGTTTTATTCTAAACAAGTTTAATCGGGGTGGCACGACAGAAACTTTTGGAAAGACAAAAATTTTTTAAAATTTCCTCTTCTACTGCATTGTTTCAACGACCAAGATTAAAAAAATTGCAAATCCACCATACACTTGTAATGTAGAAGCTTTCTCCATGATCTTACACTGCGAAGATCAAATTGTTTTGGATGTACAATTTCACTTGCAAGTTGACGAGCCTTACGCTAGCGGCCAAGCATGGATGCCATTTCTCCTCAATACTCAGACTTTTTTCAGTGTTCTTGTGATGCTTATAATCACTAAACTGGGCGTTTTAAGATCCATGAAGATCAGAAGACTGCAGATTCAAATTCAAGTCGACAAAAAACCAGGTAAGACGGAGTTTTAATTTTGTGAATTCGAAATACAAACCGCATGCGAACATTTGCTCCATGCATATAAGATGCTACCTGCATGGTGACCTTTGGAAATCGTGCAACAAAAATTCTTTTGATACGGCGTAAAAATTGCTCGTGACTAGATTATCAGGGGTATTATGTTTTTCTTTACGAAATGTGGATAACTTCAACTATTAGTATTTTGCTATCACTGACAGTGGAAGTGTATAGCCAAGCCCTTTTAGCGTCAGGAAATATAGAAAATGCAAATTTTTGCATCATACGATACGATTCTAGCCATTTCATTGGCCGAATTATCTGCTTGTTATTTTTGAATGCCTGAAATCTTGTAATAAGTAAAATGAAAACAGTTTTAGATTCTTACAACTTCCTTGAAATATTCGAATTTTACAAATGCGGCCGGGAATTCAGACAGTTTATATAGAAAGTAGCTGGTTTAATATAATTACCGTTACTTTGGTGTCGGATGTTAGATTGAGATATTATAACGCTAGCCTCGATTTAGTGAGTACACTTCAAACCTGTATACAGAACAAATGCAAATAAAGCTGACATAATGTGTACGATCGTGGAAATAAAAGGTACCGGTAGCATAGCAGTCAGAAGTTACAAGTGCTGTGTGGCTGAGTTGGTTGTGCAGTCGTTCTGTCGGTGCCCCGAGGGTTTTCTGATAATCAACAATCGGTCATGCATACAGAGTGTAAAAGGAATAGCTCATTAACTAAGAGCAAAATATTAATTTACTTCACCTTTACCCTTTGTACGGCAGCTCAATTCTTGAAGATGAATATTATGCAAAATAATATTTGATTCAAGCGCCTTACGCACAAACGAAGCCTGAAATTTGCATTTTCGAGAACAATTATTGCATTCCTAAGAAAAACGGAAAGAATAGCGCGCCAGTCAGCGAAAGGGCATCGCGTGTATTATATATGCATCGCCAGAAGGCATTTCTCTAAGAAAGGCAAATGCTGATTTAACGGTTAGATTTTAATTACAAAAATATGGCAAGATATGTTTATCAAATTTAAGATTTTCCATCACCATTCTTACTAGCTTCTAGGGTTGCGCCTCGCATGGGTAACTTTATTTTCCCGTTCGCGCAATTCAGTATTGGTCCTTTTCTTCTTTTAATTATATTGTAATTTTGTGACCAATAAAGTTGATAGACTAGACTAGACAAAACTTTTAAACAGCTAATCAAACGCGAACACTGTCTGCAACAATGACTTTGGGAATAATAATTTTGATAGAGAACCATTTCTTTCTCATGCTAATCGTAAACAATCTTTGTTTAACTTGAAGAAATTTTCTCTGTTTACATTAAAATCTTGTTAACTTAGATGAAGATAAAAGTAACAGGATTCAAAGGTTAGATTTAAAATTACAAAAGTATGGAACGGCATGTTTATTCAGAGCATTACAAAACTTTTAAACAGCTAATCAAACGCGAACACTGTCTGGACCAATGACTTAGGGAATAATAATTTTGATAGAGAACCATTTCTTTCTCATGCTAATCGTAAACAATCTTTGTTTGACTTGAAGAAATTTTCGCTGTTTACATTGAAATCTTGTTAACTTCAGGATAAAGATAAAAGTAACAGGGTTCAACGGTTAGATTTTAATTTAAAAAGTATGGAACGGTATGTTTATTCACAGCATCACAAAACTTTTAAACAGCTAATCAAACGCGAACACTGGCTGGACACACGACTTTCTTTCTCTTGCTAATCGTGAGACAATCTTTGTTCAACGTGAGGAAATTTTGGCTGCTAATAATTTAAATCTTGTTAATTTGGATCACGGTAACAATGAGGGACTGTGCAATAATTACCTGGAGCGGAGGGAGGGTGGAGGGGAGGGGGNAAATCACTGGACTCTGAGCTTGTGTCGTCTTCGCATGAATTGGGAGATTCCTCATCTTCTACAGCACCTGTTCCCGCGTGCGTGGGTGAGAACTCGACCAATCAACTCAGTCTTGCTTCCACTTATCTTAAGACCTTTTTGCTGTAGATACATTTTCAGCTGCTTGCTGGTAAGCGCTTTTACAACTTTTTCAATTGTCCAAGAAATAAGCGGAAGAGTGTTCCTTTCTCTTACTCTTTTTTTGGCTTTTGCATCCGGGAACTCAAGGTACTGTACATAACTTTTACATGCAGTCTCGTCCACGTTGTACTGGGAACATACCTCATGCAAAGATCTTTCTTCAGAAGAGGGCAATTTTCCCTCGTTAAACACATGATCTCTTTATCTGGACACTTGGGAGAAACTTGTCGATCTGGTCTCCAGTGGACGTTACCGTAGTGAATGGTGAATACTTTCCAGGCGAAGTAGCATGCATTAAATTTTATTTTATTTTATGTATTAAATTTTACATCCAACCTCCCCTCTCTCTCTTGTTGTCATTTTCTCCTATGCCTCCCTCTAATTTTCCAACCCCCCCCCCTGCTCCAGGTAATTATTGCACAGTCCCTAACTTGACTCTCTGGGCAGATCGTCTGTGTGAGGCTAGCTCGAGTCTTGAAAAGGATTGTTCTACTTATCTTCTTGCCAGGGTGAAAACAAAACATTAACAGACGATAACATCTCTGTCAATGAAGATAGTTTTAGTCCAGCAATAGCATCAGCAAAATTGAAATTGCCATGCACGAAAAAAATTCTGCTCATGGTGTTTCCTATCATTATTGGTCCTGAAGAATTTTTCGACGGTGTCAGAAACACTAAGCAATCTTTCTTGGAACTGCCTGCGAGACAGAGATTACCTTTCCTTTCCACTCGGTAAGAGACGAACAGAAAGAGAAGTGAATCGCTGTCTCGCAGGGTATCTTGGAACTCTTTTTAGTAATCAGCTTAGTCAAAAAAAATTATCACGTAATGCTATAGATGATTCGCCGTGTTCGGTGCTGACACTCGAAACATTTTATAGCTCGAGAACTATGTACATGATGTACGCAATGGACGTATAAGTATCAAAAGAGTGGGCGGGGACGGGGGGCGGAGTCGCGCGTAGATTGCGAGAAGACATTTTTTGAAGAATGACTAAAGCTGATTTTCAAAATGTTTACCCTAAGCATGACAAAGTGTAGCAGTTCAAACTTTGCTTTAATCGTTTTGCCTTCACTACACAACCGAACACACTCAAAGGTTGAGGCATGGGCGCGTTGGTCAGCCAGCCAGCCTTTAATACTTAACTTGAAGAAACCCAAGCCCCAACCCTTCCAGTTGTCTCACCATTTCTGGTCGTCTATCAACAGCTCTTTGTTCCCTTTCCGAGAAGCTGCATAATTTTTCCTGAGGAGTGAGCTAGTGTCACATGCTTCTAAGGAAACGGCGAAAAGAAAATTATTCTTAAAACTCAGAGAAAAATAAAAGGTTATAAAAGAGATTGGAAGGTAAGAATTTGTCGGCAACACTGACAACTCTCCCGAGGAAATAAAAATATTTTCGTAACGGAGGCCAGGGACTTGCAGCCAAACTAAACTGACCGAGTAACCCGAAAACACTGATCCCCGGTCCGCGGACCCCCACTACGGACCGGGTCCGCGGACTACCTATGGACCGGTCCACGGACTACCCTTACGGACCCCCTGTACGGACCACTCAACAAAAATATAATAAAAATTAGAAATAAATACTTCACTCATGGGTTATCTAATAGATTACTCGTCTCGGCGAATTTTCGAGTATTACACTGTGCAAATGTAATTGACACCCTTCTTCCCCCC